GTGTTCGTCCGGTTCTGGATGCGAAACGACAGCGTGAAAGGAGTGCCGAGGAGGCCATACGGTGGATACTGCAGCGACACTACTACGGGAGCCTTCTCGACGGCGATGACCGGCAGTGCTAACCGTGTGGTCACAGAGCTCTGGAGAATGCCCGTAGCATCTGTGCTCGAAGGTGAAGCCATAATCTCGTCTATGCCGGAAACCTCCACCACCTCGGGTTCCTGTCGCTGCTGTTCTCTTTCCCACCTCAGAGCCACGGTGCCAATGTCGAGAGATGATGATACAGCCAGAGGTCGTATAGATAAAATCTGATTGAAGACCTCGCCGGGTAAGAGCTTGGTACCCTCGCTTGACTGACTGATAGCGCTGTTCCTGAGACGGCTCCCTTCCATTCGTCTTACTTGACACGTTCTGGCATTCTTCTCCTCGACCTGGACTGGAGAGATGAGAAGTGGCACGGAGCAGATGTTTCTTGCGGTGAGGACCATTGTGCTGCTTTCATCAAAAGGTAGGACGGTTCCAGCAGATCTCTCGACGCTGCCTGGAAGAAACGCGTCTCTCTGAAACGGAACCATGTACCTACAGTTGATTCTCAGAGCCTCCTCGCATTGTAAGTCGACGTGTTTATGACTCCACAGCTTATGAGTGTCGTCGTTGGTTCCAAACTGTATCTGGTATCCCAATGTAACAAAAAAGGAGACTGGTTTCGCTTCTGTAAACCGTAAGTACGTGGAGGTCGACCAGCTTCCATCTGCTTCGACGTAAGGTATCTTCATGGACCCCTGAAACTCCCATAGAAGCGTCTCACCACTTCCATCTTTCAATCGAGCTGGTACGAATATCTTAGCACACGCAGCAGAGGAGCCTGTGGAAGGTGTTTTCGGCGAAAAGGCATCGTTGGAAGCGACCTCAGTCACGGACACTTGCAATTCTCCGGCGTCGATAGCATGCCCCCTGGACCTGATGTGTATTCTAACTAAAACCGTTTCCCCGAGTAAGCCTGTGCCTCCTGAGTCGATTTCTATATCAACCTTGGGTTCCACCTCTTCCACCTGTACAACCTTCTGTCCTAGAAAAGCCAAGTTCTTATCCTTCACGGGGTAACTCTCGAGCGCTGGCTCAAACTGCCAAAACGGATCAGGTTCTCTAGAAGCCGGGCTCTCCACTTGACAGCGAACGGTGGTGTTGCGTCCTAGTCGTGCAACAGCGAACAGACACTCTAGTTTCCCGCTTTTTACTGCAACAAGCACAAAAACATCACAACCGATAATTTTTCGAAAGAGATATTGTACCTGCAATTATATCAACTTCCAGTCGTTTCCACTGATGCGGCATAAGTTTCAGATCGTGGCCCTGGTCCAGAGAATGCTTGAGAGCAAGGTTACAAGCATTCTGGTTGAAGTGTATCTCCAAGTCATCAAGTTCCAACGGATGCGGTAAATGAGTGAGCAGGGAAACTGTCAAGCGTGTTGACATACCCGGTTTCACCGCCTGCTCGTGGAAGGCAACGCAAACTGATAAAACTCCCCTGAGAGGACTGACGAGGTCGATCTCCAAAGCAATTGGAGCTTCACCATCTGGCAGTGCATCAGTCCCTGTAATAGCCGCAATGACGTCTGTCAGTGCAGTACTTCTTCTCGCCACCTCTGACCAGCTTTCCTCCGGCAATGCCGCCAGCTCTAAACTGTACTCCAGAAACTCTTTAGAGAGTCCGAGATGTTTAGCCGTTTCACGCAGATATTCCAGGCTCGCGGCGAGAAGCTCAACCCATGCCTCCTTTCTGTACATTTCGGCGACGGTGTCGAATAGCCGTTTTGCATTCTCATGTTCGCCCGCATGAAAGTATTCGCGGCCCATTTGCGTTCCAAGATAGTAAATCATCCGGGTCGCTTGCGTGGCTTTGTACTGTTCGTGAGCCTTAGTCAACAAATTTATTGCAGCTCGCGAATGAGGAAATTGTCTTTCCGTCAGCATCGCATGTCTCATGTATTCGTCGGGTGTAGCACTGCAATGGCATATGTAAGAGCCTGAAACAAGAGCGACGCGAATAGTTACCTCTGTTCTTCTGACATTCTGCTTAGAACACGAGGACCTTGTCCGACGTAGAGGGGCGGACCAACTTCTTCTGGAGGACCAGCTAGAACGTCCACTGCATCTGGATTATCAAACGACTCGAAAGTTGCAAACGCTCTCTCAAAGGTTCGTCTTCGTCCAGCCATATACGAAGCAGCTATCTGCAACGTTCACTTTTTTTCAGACCACGATGAACGAGAAAACATGAAATACCT